CTGACCTACAGGTGCTTTAGAAAATAGCTTGACCCACTCCTCTCTGAGGCAGCCCCTCAAATGTTGGAAGACCACTATCATGTCTCCCCGGTCCTTCTCTTCACTAGACTAGCCATGCCCAGTTCCTGCAACCTTTCTTCGTATGTTTTAGCCTCCGGTCCCCTCATCATCCTGGTTGCTCTTTGCACTTTTTCTCAACATCTTTTTTATAATGTGGTGAACAAAACTGGATGCAGTACTCTAGGTGTGGTCTTACTAAGGCTTTATAGAGTGGTATTAGTACTTCCCTTGATCTTGACTGTATCCCTCTGTTAACACAATTTAGGATTGCATTAGCTTTTTTGGCTGCTGCTGCACACTGCTGGCTCATATTTAGCTGGTTGTCCAGTAAGACTCCAAGATCCCTCTCACAGTTACTGCTATTGAGCCTGGTTTCACCCAGTCTATATGTGTACTTTGGGTTTTTCTTGCCTAAGTGTAGGACTTTACTTTTCTCTACATTGAATTTCATTTTATTAGATATGGCCCAGTGTTTTAGTCTGTCAAGATCCATCTGGATCTTGAGCCTATCTTCTTAGGCGTTAGCTATTCCTGCCAGTTTAGTATCCCCTGCAAATTTGGTAAGTTCCCTTTCTATTCCCTCATCTAAGTCATTAATGAAGATATTGAGGAGTACTGGGCCTATGACAGAACCTTGTGGCACCCCACTGCTTACTTCTTGTTGTTGTTTGTCCTACCCGATTGAAGCCCATTCCCCCATCTTCTAGTCCCAGTTCTGTCTGCTCCTCCTCCTCAACTGCTCAAATGCCAGTTCTCACCCTTCAGCGAGCTCCCTTGTGGCACCCAACTAACGAGCTGCTTCGGAGGTCTCCTTTGGATCTTTCCTTATTGGCCTGCCTGAGTTCCAGCACAGTTCTCCATCCCCAAGAATGTGGAGCCTTGCCTCTGCCTTTGTGTGCCAGGCTTGGCTTACTTTTGAGTTCTTCTTCCCCTTTTGCCCACCACCCGCCAGCTGCTAAAATAGCACATTTCATGCTGAGTTGGATGGAAGATGACAGGTCTTTTGCCACCCGCTCCTTACCCACCTTAAGCCAGGAGACTTCTTAGCTGTCCTCTAGCCTGGGCCATTAGGATGAGCAAGAAACAATGGTGGGATTCAATTATTTTTACTACCGGTTCTGTGGACATGGCTTGGTGGGCGTGGCAGGGGAAGAATACTGCAAAATCCCCATTCCCTCCCCATCCCACTAACCTGCTTTCCAGCTCCATTCTCCTGTGCAGGGCAACAAAAGGAGACCCAGCCGATCAGCTGGGACTCAATGGGAGGCAGAGAATAGATGGGGGCGGGGCCAGTCAGAGCTGGGATTTGCCGGTTCTCCGAACTACTCAAAATTTCCGCTACCAGTTCTCCAGAACTGGTCAGAACCTGCTGAATACCTACCTCTGGCAAGAAAGCCTTCTGTTGACAGTTGAAGGGCCCCAAGACTTAAGCAGACTGAAAAATGTCACCGTAAGCCTTTAAGGGAGGAGCGTTTTAGAAGCCCAACAGTGTGGCAGGTAAGCTTTCCACTGCTATAACAATTGGCCCCCGGAGAGAAGTGCTCTCCATTACTGTTCTTATTGGCACGCATCTTGCATTTCGGGATCTTAATTTCACCGCTGCGTGCAAAGCAGTGCAAATGGCCTCTGATTGCAGAGCACTTTTCAAAAAATAGATGTGGGGGAGGGGAAAATGCAAGACAGAGCGTATCTTGGAGATTACAGAGCACTTTTCTTGAGTATGGCAAATTGCCCTGAATTAGAATGGCAAAGGCAGAAACTCACAGAATGAAGTTTGCTCCCCTTCCTGTTTTCCTCCCCCCCCCCCCTTCTCCCCTTCGCCTACCAGCTCCACTTCCTGGAGAGAAGGGAGCCATTTAGAAAGTCAGGCTACCCAGATTGTGGCTTGTTTCCCTCTTTTTTGGGTGGGTGGGTGGGGATTCTCTTAATTGTCAGGCCAGCCCGGAGGGGGGAAGGGCTTTTAGGAGCAGAATATCAATAATGACTGTTTAGGAAGAATGTGATGAATGCAACAGGCCATTATTGTGAAAAGCGGAGGGTGTTCTACTTATCCTGAGAGCATCATCTTTCCCACTCTGTCTGCATGTATATGAATGGTGTGTATATTTTGAGGGAAGGGGAGGCACATGAAAGATTCGAGCAGAGAGGAGCACCCTATGAAAATACTCACCTGCAAAAAAGAAGGGAGAATTATCTCTGTTATCTATCAGTCTTACCAAGCTGTGTTTTTTAAAAGCCCAAGTCCTCATGGCGTTTTTCTCATCCCAGTATCTCCTGCAAGGGTTCTAGCTGAATATCTGCCGTGTCGGAATCCAAGGTTTGACAGCATCCGGGTGCAGACTTGATTTGTGTAGGACTGAGCTGGAGAGTGGACAGTTTCCTTGGCACTGAGGTTCTCTGCTTCACTTGCCTTTTCAATTTTTCTCTTAGCCCAACATCGCTCACAATCCTTTTTACTGGAGGAGGGGAGTTTTCAATAGGCTGCCTTGAGCTGCTCTAGGAAAGGCAGGATCTGAGAAACAATTGATAATAATGTACATCAATCCCACCGCTAGCTCGTTTGGTAAAAGGCAAACTTTGTTTTTATTGAAACCTCTTTTTAATAGAGGAGTTCTAATGTCTCCTTTCCTGTTTTTTGCCTTTGCTTTGGTCAAAATAGCATGTGGTCTTTCTTTGTTTACTGAATTATGGGAGATTGATGTTTATTTGGTTCTATGTGCCCAAAGACTAGACATCCAGCATTCTCTCTTTCTTTCCCTCCCTCCCTGTCTCTGTCTCCCTCCCTCCCTCTCTCCTCCCCTCCTTTCCACCCATCTCCCTCCCCCTCCCTCTCTCCCTCCTTCCCTCTCTCTCTCTCTCTCTCTGTCTCCTCTCTCCCTCCCTTTCCTTCCCTCCCCCTTCTCTCCCTCTGTCTCCGTCTCCCTCCCTCCCTCTCTGTCTCTCTCTTCTCCCATTCACAGATTTTATGCCCGAGATTCTGGTCTCCTGAAGTTTGAAATCCAAGCAGGACTTCTAGGTCGACCCATCAATCATACTGTCCGGCGCCTGGTGGCATTTACCTTCCACCCTTTTGAGCCCTTTGCTATCTCCGTGCAGCGGACTAACGCGGAATACGTCGTAAACTTCCATATGAGGCACAGCTGCACATAGTGTTTTGCTCTACTGTGGACACTGAATAGAGACATTTTTTTTTTTTTTTTCACGGATATCCCGGAGCCAAAGTCAGGCTGAAAGAAACCAAAACACTAAGCTTGTTTGGAGTGATGCTGTTTCAGTCCTGCGGTGTTTGAATCTCACAGGAATGATGGTGTTGATGGATCCATAACTATCTCGAATTCCCCCCCCCCCCAAGGTGCTAGCCATTCTTCTGTCATTCAGCACAAGCCAAACAGATTATTTTGTAAAGATCTCTGCTCTGATACTTGACTTATTACTACACCTACTAGTACTACTTCTATTTAGTGGGAGGGGTGGTTCGGTGGGGTGTGATGACCGGCGTGGCACAAAGGCAACACAGTTAAATAAGCAAGAAGAGTCCCTTTATCATATCCAACTTTGCCCCCAATGTCCAGGTTACCTTTGGCTGGAGAAAAACTCTCCCAGGAACAGTCTTTAACTGTAGAAAATTCAGTGCAAAACAAGGTACACGAACTGTAACTAAAAATCCAAACGAACCACACTTGACAGGGCAGGAGAAGGAATTGCAGACTTGAAAGGCCAGCAAAACACACACAGTTGGGAAGACGCCAGGAACACAGATAAGTCTTGACAATACCAGATAAATTCACGATTTGCTCCCAACCCATTTGCCTGAAGAAGAGGGCTTGGGTCTTCCTCTGAACTCCTTGCACAGGAAACCCATTTTGTAGCAAGGCATTTCTTATTTTCCTCTCTCTCTTGGAACAGAGGGATAAAAGTCCTATCACTGCCATATTTCAAGAAGGTCGGTTGGTTCCTTAGTGGGAGATAGGAATATGGTGCCTGCTTTTATACAGGCAGGGAAGAGAATGGGATAAAATACTCTCATAGAAACACTTTAGAGGAATCTTAGCCGTTAATTCCCCATCTCTGTCTCTCTAGATTAGATTATAACCCACAAAAGGTTTTGTGCTGCCCAAGTTCTCTTCTATGAAAACCCTCCTGCCAACCTAAGCATGCCCATCGTCCAGGTCTCAGGGTCCAGGATGGCCTATGTGGAGTGTTAAGGTTCTGTTTTGCTACTAACTGATCATTCCAGTGGAGTGTCCTGCAATATCATGCAGTTGTGTTACGTGCCTATTTGATTCACACAGGCTTTAAATGAGGACATGGTTAGTTTGGGTTGCTGCAGCTCAGATGTAGCCCCCTAGCCTGCTTGAAAATCCTTGGTTACAAATTGTGAGCCTCCCAGAATCGTTTGCTGAAACTGGCTGCTATAGAAATCAAGCCAAACCAATCCATCAGTACTTATATATATATATAAGCAAAAGTCCACTCATGCATCATCACAAAATCTCCAGAACTGTAAAGCCTACAAAAGGATTTTTTGAAATGACCATCAGAGCATTAGTATTTCGTATATCATTATTAACACGCTCTGAATTCAGTGGTGGGATTCAAATTTTTCTACTATCGGTTGGTGGGTGTGGCAGGGGAAGGATACTGTAAAATCTCCAGTCAGGGATGGTATTTGCCGGTTCTCCGAACTACTCAAAATTTCCACTACTGGTTCTCCAGAACTGGTCAGAACCTGCTGAATGCCACCTCTGGCTCTGATGCTAAGGAGTTCTACTCCCCCTCCCCATCTGAAAAAGAAATCTGTTCCAAATGCAAAACACAAGCAGAGGAGAGGAGTTACAGTTTTAGTTTTCATAGCAGCAACCAGGTTTAGTACAGAACAGTTGAGCTAAGCCGGGCCCAGGCACCTTGCTGTCTCCTTGCTCACACAGCAAATACTACTTCAGTTTCTCAACTCTCTCACACGCTGACAGGATGCTGGCCAGATGAATACTGATGTATGCTGGTAGGCAGAGGCAGAATTCCCCCCCCCCCTATTTTCCTCCCCAAAAACTAAGCCTCACCACATAGTTTTGTAGCGAAGCACGGGTATTGAGCTAGTAAGTAAATACATGAAACAAAATAAAACAGTCCTCTTCCCCTGCCTTTGATTAACTTGCAATCAGGTTGAAGAATGGGCCCGTTGATATATGTATCTAACATTTCCCTTTCCTTAAATTTGGTGCCAGTGCTACTTCCTGGCAATTCTCAGCAGGAGGCAAGGTTTTCCAAAAGTTTACACCTGCGAGGACATTTTCATATACTCAAAAATGGTAGGCTTTTGTCTTTGAACCCAGAAGTTCAGGGAAATAAAAGCAACACAAAGAATAAAAGTAACATGAAGGTAGAGTGTGATTTGCTCTTTGGGTGCCCTTTCTCTGTCTTGCTGTGTTTGAAAGGAAACAGCAAAGCTGAATGGACGTGCAAGGAGGACTTTGGTAGCTTGTGACTCTTATGAAAACTAGAAAAGTTCCCGTGAGATCATCTGAAGAGGATCAACTCCAACATTTCTTCATCAGTATTAACTTCCCAGTTTTGAAATTGCCTTCTGAGTTGAGTCATCTGGTAAGGCAAGTCATAACAGATTCTGGTTGGATGCACCTGGACATACATGAAGCTTAGTCACAGATTGTTGTAAAAATACAGATTCCTTTGCCTTCATCTTTACTCCTAAGAACCACCCAAATATGCTTACGTTAGTGCAACACTACAAAAGTAATTCGTTCCTTCTTCTAAGATTCCCCCCCCCCCCCCCCACACACCTTCAAGTTCTGAGAAGAGTCCTGGAATTTCCTGGTGATCTCCAATTTAAGCCATAATTAGTTGTTGATCTTGATTGGCTTTTTTCAGTATCAGACGTGGTTGATGAGGGGCTACCTCCCGAAGATCACGTTTGGTTAAATAAGACATAATTGCCTTTATTTAATTCAACTGCAAAAGGCAGCAGTTAAGGGAGGGGGAAAAGGCACTAAACGGAAATCAATATAAATACATTTGGGTTTGCAAATTGGACGAGATTGTAGTTTGCTGAAGAGTGGTTGAATCCCAGTCAGCTGTATGCTAACCTATCTGTCATAGTTTTACAAAAGATAATGACAATTTACATGAGATGTAAATTGGAAATTTAATGAGACAAATGATCGCTTAGATCAACATGTTTACCTTCATCGGTTGACTCCATGTTATTTATTATTTTGTTTTTACTGTTGGTCAGAGTGGAAAAGACTCAAGCAGTTAGGTGGAATGCTGCATTTCTAAGAAGTCCAACCAACTGCTTTTGGAAAGATATGAGGTGAACAAAAAAACTGTTCCAGACCAGTGCTTATTATTGTCCCCTAAATACAAAGATGTTCTGGGAGATTTCTCTTTCAAATGTTCTTGAATTGGCTTTGATTTTAGAGTAATATTATTAAGGAGTTGCTTATCTCTTCCCTCAACATAACTGGTTTCCTGATCAAAACTAGCGTCCAACACCTTCCAGCATCACATGTTTGTCACACATAAAAACTCAGGGGAGGTTGTCCCTTAAGGTCTGCTTTTTTGAAGAGAGAACTTCATTAGTTTTGTAGGCATAATGAATTGATACTGCTAGATCAGGTTATTTGTAGCTCAAGGTTGAACTGTGGGGTCCTTGGTACTCAGAGCTTGGTGGTTTTCTTGCAGACATTTCATTATCCAAACTCAGTAACATCATCCGTGCACTGAAGAGAATGGCTTCCTACAACGTGACGAACTGCAAACTACTCAAATCTCTTTTAGCCTTGTCTAGTGAGCTGGTCACTCTTGTCAGCTGAAGACTTACAACTTTATAGGAAAAAACAGCCAGTCCTTTTCTACCACTCTCATTTTGCATGGCCTTCCTGTGATTAAAGATACAGCTTTCAAGTCAGGTACCTCTCTCGTCCATAAGCCTGTTAAACCCTCATTGAAAATTGGCCGTAATCGCATTTTTGTTGACAATGAATTCTGAGGCTTAACTGTTGTGTCTGTTCAACTTGAATTTGCAAGGAGCAGTGATAAGGAAGAGGAACGCCAATTTTTACTACATCAAAGCAGTAAACCAGTAGACAATGTAAACAAGGTTCTAAAACCTGATGCTGATAGGATCTGGGATAATTAATTCAGATGTGCAATTTGTTTCATGAGTCTGCTGTCATTAAAGAACCGACCTGGCTTACACGAAAGGCTTTATAGGTGAAAGTTTGGAAACCGGGGCATCTGGAATCTACAATTTGTAGCATAGAGAGAGAGAGACCCTTAGTAAATTGATATTCCAGCTGCTTTCCAAGGCCATCGAGGGTTATAGATATTAGATATCAAGTGCCTGTTAGTCTGGAACATCAGGAGAACACAATGTCAAATGGAGCATAATTATATAAACTCTGGTTTCCTTCCGCCGTGGGTAATTAACTATTGTGTCGGAGGTTTTATCCTTGTCAGCCATGAAGTTTCTGATCTACTCAAGTCCTCTCTAAGTGTCTTCTGCCAAGACTCGAGAGCTACGGAGTTTTGTTCTCCCCTGGAGAAAAGTCAGATCTTAGGTCTTTCAGCTGGTAGTAAGGAACATTCTCGCTGGCCCTGTTACTGACCACCCATTTCAATCTCCGGTTGACTTTTCAAACGCCAGCCACGGAAGTGGATTGAGCTGGCACAAGTTGAAGGAGGCCTGGGCTGAGTCAAGATGATTTGGGGCACCCGGAAAACTGTCAGACTGACTCAGAAGACAATGAAAGAAGAGGCAAACCTGGCAGGGGCCTATCCGAATAATAGCTGTGCCACCCATTGAGCGGCTCTTCAGTGTTCCCTGAATGCTTTAAAAGAAGGGCAACTCAGAAAGTAGCATCCAGGTTGCTTTTTTAGGAAGTGGGCTGGGAGAGGATGAAGGAAGATGGGGGGCAGGGTTCTTTACTCGTGCTGATGCTGGCATGGAGCTCTTAACAATTGCAGTATCCATGGCAACTGGAAGAGAAAGCCCTGCCAGATTGGCTGTCCAGACAGCAGAAGTGAGGTGTTGGTGATGTTGGTAACTAAAGCAAAAACAACAACAGCAACAACAACACAGCCAAAGTTACTTGTCTATTTTCTTTGTTTGCAAAAAGGATGCTTCTTGTACACATCACTACAGTGTTTGCCAAAAATTTACTTGTTGATCGGATTCACTTGTTGGCTTTCCCCATTATATTCAACCATAAACTAACCAAGAAGAAAGGGACTAGGGATTTTCAGCTGCCAGAACTTCTACCATGTATAAATATTGGGAATTCTCTGGCACTCTGCCATATGCCAAGTAAATGAATACAAATAAACTAACCATCTAGATTAGGTACGCCAGACAGACCCAGAAACCGAACCAAGTTTAACCAAGTTTAGCATCATGAAAAAGAGCAGCCAGGAACAGGCAGTCCTTAACCTATTGCTGCAATTGAGCCAACATTTAGGTTGCCAAGTGAGAAATTTGTTAAGT